CCACAGAAGACCCCAAATAGTCAAAGCCACCTTCAGAAAGAAGAACAAAGTTGGAAGTATCATGTTCCTTGATTTCTAACTACCTTACTAAGCTATAGCAATCAAAACAGAATGGTACAAAAACAGACACATAGGAAATCCACAGATATATGGCTAATTAATTTATAACAAAAGAGCCAAGAATATACAATGGGGAAAGGACAGTCTCTTCAATAAATGGTGGTGGGAAAACTGAACAGCCACATGTAAGAGTATAAAACTAGACTTCTTTCTTACATTATACACAAAAATTAACTCAAAATGGATTAATGATTCAAGTGTTAGACCTGATACCATAAAATTCCTGGAAAAAACATAAGTGGTAACCTCCTTGACATTGGTCTTGGCATTGAATTTTTGGATCTGACTCCAAAAGCAAAGGCAACAAAGGCAAAAATAAACAAGTGGGACCATATAAAAGTAAAAAGATTCTGCACAGCAAAGGAAACCATCAACCCAATGAAAGGCAATCTACTGAATGGGAGAAAATATTTGCAAATCATGTATCTGATAAGGGATTAATATACAAAATATATAAAAGCTCAAACCACCGAACGGCAGAAAAATAATCTGATTTTAAAATGGGCAGAGGATATAAATAGTCATTTTTCCAAAGAAGACACAGATGGCCAAGAGGCACATGAATAGATGTTGAACATCACTAATTATCAGGGAAATGCAAATAAAAACCACAATATGAGATATTACCTCACATCTGTTAAATCCCTATTATCAAAAGGATAAGAAGACACAAAGTTTGGCAAGATGTGGAGAAAGGTAACATTTGCACACTGCTGGTGGGAATATAAATTGGTGCAGTCACTACGGAAAACAGTATGGAGGTTCCTTGAAAAATTAAAACTAGAACTACCAATGAACCAGCTATTCTACTTCTGGGTATTTATCTGAAGGAAATAAAAACATTAATTGGAAAAGGTATATGCACCCCTGTGTTCATTGCTGCATTATTTACAATAGCCAAGATATGCAAACAACTTAAGTGTCCATCAATAGATGAATGAATAAATAAGATGTATGTATACACAATGGAATATTACTTAGCCATAAAAAGAAGGAAATCCTGCCACTTGCAAAACATGGATGGACCTTGAGGGTAATATGCTAACTGAAATCAGATAGAGAAAAATAAATATGGTATGATTTTACTTATATGTGGAATCTAAAAAACAAAACAAAACTCATAGATACAGAGAATAGATTGGTGGTTATCAGAGGGGAAGGGGCTATAGTGAGAGAAATAGCTAAAGGGAGTTAACTGCATGGTGATGGATAGTAACTAGACTTACTGTGGCAATCATTTTACAGGTGATGGATAGTAACTAAACATTGTGGTGATCATTTCCCAACACCATTTATTGAAGAGACTGTTCTTTGTATACATTGTATACAAAGACTGAATTATTGTTATATACCAGAAACTAATATAACATTATATCAATTTTATCTCAAAACAAACCCCCCCAAAACTAAAAAGGAGCCAAACAAACCACTGTGTGGTCATGTGGTGTTTGCTGTAACACACAGTTATTGCAATGAGAGTCAAAGTGGCACACTCAATTTATAGATGGAGGGGGCAGAGGTCATTGATATGGTGTGCCATATGCAACTTGCAGCAAATCTTGCCTTTGCACCCCTTAGAATTCTGCATCATTATATGGTGAAGAATCTGCCAGCTGTGTGCTCAATGAGCCTGGCTTTATGGACTCGACAGGATGAGGCTATGCGGGATCCGACTCTAAAAGCAAACTCAACAAAGGCAAAAATAAAGACGTTGGACCGTATCAAACTAAAAAGTAGCTGCCTCACTGAATGAAGCAATAGATGGGAAAATAAGTACACAGTATACCTGTATTTCCCATTATTCTGGAATTCAAACAATCTAGAATCTCCAACAAGGTCTGAATTGTGCTTTGCTTTGAAATACAAATACAATTCTAAGAAATGGTTTATAATACAATAATCAGCTAACCTGCCCCATCCTCCTGGTTAACTCAGAAAGCCTTCTACAATAGGTGCATGGTGCAGTCAGCTGAGCCTGGGGAGATGGAAGACATTGATTTGTCTTGGAAAACATCATACACGAGACTGGTTACTTTAGTCTCCTTTCCATTTCCTGCTGAGTATGCAACTTTTTGGCCTCAGCAATTACAGCCAACGTGGCTACAGAGGACAAAAGGTGTCAGCACATTCAAAAGCATTTTAATTGCAGTAGTGAGCAGAATAAAGAGATTTAAGTTGTTTACAATCAGTGGGTATTACTCAGTCTATACACCAGAGTACTCCAGATGACCTAGGTCCAAATTCCACTTTTATCACTGACAAACTTGAATAGAGTTTAAAGTATTAAAAAATAGTATTTATTCTCAACCTCAATTTCCTCATCTGCAAAATGGGTTGTATATCAACTTCATAGTCTATAATGAAGAAAAATTAAGTGGAATGACAGGTAAAGTACCATCTATAGTACTTGACAGTTTATATTTCCCTTATCCAAAGGCAACTATTACTTCACACATGATTTATTTTATAGGTAACCTAGTTAACATCAGGTACATTGCTGAGTATTAAGAACTGTAAAGTACCTGTTACATTATGGCTCTGTAACATGAGATGATCTTTCTCTTAAGAGCAGACTTCGCCAGGGCCGGGTGTGGCTCAGCGGCTGAGCGTCAACCCAGGTTCCAGGAGATCGGGGTTCGATTCCCGGTCAGGGCACATGCCCGGTTGCGGGCTTGATCAATGACTTATCATTGATGTTTCTATTTCTCTCTCTCCCTCTCCTTTCCTCTCTCTGAAATCAATAGAGATATATTTAAAAAAAAAAGAGTAGACTTCACACATCTGTGTTGGGCAAATACTAACAAATACATGTACCCATATCTACAATACTACTTATAAAATGCTTAGCAAACAAAGAGTTTTTAGATCTGTTAAAGAAAGTTCTTTGATGCTCCTGGGTTGGAGTCTTCCAACCATGCTTCTGTTTTTTAAAGAGCTAGGCTGATAGGAGCTAGACTTGAAAAGCAAGTACAGTAGGCCCCCTTATCCATAGTTTCACATTCCATGGTTTCAGTTACCCACTGTTAACCGAGGTCCAAAAATATTAAACAGAATATTTCAGAAATAAAAATTCATGTTTGAAATTGCGTGCCATTCTGAGTAGCCTGATGAAATCTCACGCCATCCTATTCTGTCCCACTTGGATGGGAATTGTGTTTTTGTCCAGTGTATCCACATTGTATATGCTCCCTGCCTGTTAGTCACTTAATACCCATCTTCAGTTAACAGATCACTGTTGTAGCATCACAGTGCTGTGTTCAAGTAACCCTTATTTTACTTAATAATGGCCTCAAAGTACAAGAATAGGGATGCTGGCAACTTAGATATGCCAAAGAGAAGCCATAAAGTGCTTCCTTTAAGTGAAAAGGTATATGTATGGGAAAAACATAGTATGTATAGAAAGACCTGCAGCTTGCAACCAGACTAAAGTGGATGTAAAACCCCAGTTACTTCTTTTTAAAAAAGTATTTTACTTTATTGATTTTAGAGAGAAACACTGAATGGTTGCCTTCCATACACTACCCGACCGGGAATCAAACCCACCACCTGCGAATGTGCCCTGACCAGGAATCAAACCTGCAACCTTTCAGTTTACAGGGCAATACTCCAACCAACTAAACCACACCGGCCTGGGCCCAGCTACTTCTGATTCCCTATCTACATCTGCGAGTTTCATGTTTTAGCTCTCAGCAAGGAAAAGGCAAGTGATTGTTTCTATCTAATTTCAATCTTCTGTCCCCCAAGTCTCGGTATCTTCCCTCAGACTCTTTTTAGTCACCTAGTATAAAGTAGCAAGAAGAGCTGTGAAACTCAGTTATGTCTTTCCCACCGTGGATAGCCTCTGTAGCACTCCTTAAGGAGACTACGAAACTGTTATCTAAAATAGTCAAATTAGAAAACCAGGCTCTCAACCTCATCTCCACATTGCAGAGTGACAAAGTTTCAGGGAGCAAGCCTGCAGACAGAAGAAAAAAAGCACTGCCTTTTCTCGCCAAGACTAGTCTTCCTACTTTCTCAGGAAGGAAAGGAAAAGAAAAACTGTAAGGAAAAGAAACTAATGGTCTCTCAAAGAGCAACCATGGCTGGAGCAGAATCAGTGTCCTTCCTATCTCCAATTAAGAATGTTTCTATTAAATAAAAATTTCTCATCGTATGTATCCAAAGACACATTTCACCAGTAGACTTTTATATAATTTACATCAAAACTGGATAGTTTTTTCCAGAATGAGAATATTTGTTGAAAAGGTTTCCAAAAGCACCCAAATTGTTAATGGATCAGAATCAAGGCCGGGAGAATAATGAAAAAAGCAGAGAGATTATCTAGAGTGTCATCCCAACTTAATTTTCCATTTTAGCCATTTCAGAAATAATGTAAAATAAATATTCTAATAAAACTTTCTCGTTATACTAGTTCTATTTCATTTAACATTTTAATGAACAAATACTGCTCTCCCAGTACAACAAACAAAAGTGTGAACGTGAACTGCTTGGGTCTAAATAATGGTTTAAAATCTGGGAATAGTACAGAGGAGATATTGAATTATGAATTAGTTTTAGAAATAAAAATTAAGAATCCTACCTTAAAATGTATTACTTAATAATAGTGAAACAAAGTTTCAAAAGTTAACCTCCTCCTAAATTGCCGGGTATTAAGCTCAAATTACAAATCTTTTAACTAGAAGAATAACCTTTTTTTTCCTTGCTGTGAAGTTTTCTCAAAAATACTATTACACATAAACACACCAATTAAAAATAGCTTAATAGATTAATGTGAAGGTGCTTAAAAGTGAACTGAGTTGCCTAAAATGATTAAGAGAAAAAGACTGATGAGGAGAGAATGAAGTGATCTGTGAAGTTCAGAAGAGTTAGATATAGGCAAATTATATGACAAAGCAAATATTTATTTTCAGCTTACATTTTGGCAGAAGACAGTCCAAATTCCAAAGATAATTAATGAACCACATGAAATGCCATCTTAGAGAAATATAATCCAAAAATTTATACTTTGATATATCCTGGTTTGGTTGCTTGTAACTTTTAAAAATTTAAGGGCCTGCATCGGTTCTACAGTTTACAAAAGGAAAGTACTCAAGTAAAGATATAAAAGTTGATTATGCCTGGGAAAAAACCAAGCTCTTTTTTCTTTACAAATTGAGTCCTGTTTTCAGTGTTAAAATTAAGATCAAGATTATATAGAAAAACAGTATCAAGTGAATGATTATGTGCTGGAGAGCAGAAACTTCAAAATGATGATTATAAAAACCAGTAAGTACAATACACTGCACACATCAAATTGTAGATTAGACAGAAAAATGGCTAATGTCTACAGGCTATTTATTAATCAATTAAAATATCTGGCTGAAGTGATTAAACTTTGGCTTAACTGAATAACTTGGTCACCAATTGTGAATGAACTCTTATTAAAGATTATTTTTTGATGTTCAACTTTTTATATATCCTGTCCTAGCTAAGATTTTTAGTTTTCATTGTGACATTCCTGTTTTAGGCATTTCCAAAATGGGAATAATAGCACCAGAGTAACATCACTACCTCTGCAATATTAGCAAAAATGGGCCACACTTAACCCTCCACCCTGAAATATTTTACATACCAATGACTACAAAGATGACAACATGGTTGCATTTAACAATGAAATTAAACAACTGTAACTTTAATATTCTATAAAAAATTTACGAATCAAAATTATTTATTGTGTCAGACACCAAGTAAATTTAAGAGAACCCTCTTGAAAGAACGAGGTTCATTCAACTTTATATGCCCACAGACTGAGTCTAGTGTTTGTACATAAAAAGTACTCAACAGGTACTGGTGAATTGATGGCATTAATTTGTGACAAATGACAGGGATCAAGAAGTCTTAAAAAACTAATACAGCAGCTAAATACGTCACTCATTCAAGAATGATATGCACAGTATGCCCTTTTATAGAATATTCTAAAACTCCCACAATAATACTAGACGTTCCCAGGGTGAAGCATGCAGTGGAATGGTGATTACTGGATTTTATGCTGGTGGTTACCTCCAGGCAGGGAGAAAGGGCAATAGCATCAGGGAGGCATATAAAAGTCCTCAGTTGTTCTTATTTAGATCTAAATCAAATATTGTTAATATTAATTTTGGTAAAACAGGGCAATTGCCATAAATGTTCATTATATTATTCTCTTGTCTACCTGTTTACAAGTTTTTTAAAAAAGCAACCACCAGACCTTTTTGCAGGAACAATCAGAACTATATTGATCAACCAACAGGATTTACCACCTGATCATCTCCTTTAAGAACATTACTCATTTGAAGATTAATGATCTACACATCTTCTTTTATAATTTCAATATATACTTCTTAGATACTTGTGATACTTCTTAGATTTTTAATAAAATGGATTTCCATTTTTTAAGAAGTTAAAATTTATTTGAAAATATTGCAATGAGAATTGCTTTATATTGCCTGACTTAGTCAAAGCTGCTTAAAATTCCAATCTTTTACCATCAATTACTGATTGTTTATCAACACAAAGAGTAGAAAAGACCAAGAATTCTGTTTATTACTATAGCAAATACTTTCATGGTATTTGACAGAACTCAGAACTATTTTTTTAAATGGGTTCATGTCTGTGCAACTAAGCCAACCAGGATAAAGTCTTTATTTAAAAAACAAAAAAGAATGAAAAAGAAATTAAACCAAAAGATATATCACATAATAGCAAAATATAAACACAGAAACAAAGTGAGAGAATGCTAAAAACTGCTAAGCAATGGATTGAAGAAAGTCTGATTCTACCCATCTGACATTGTTAATGGTCCTCTTTGTCCTTCCACTGTTATTTATATAAAACAAGTATGATAATAATTAAAGAAGGGCCTTGCAGGACACTTAGCAGGACTCTAAAAGGAATTATTGAGAAAGTGTTGAAATACTTTATAAATACTATTAACAAAAATATTTATTACATTTTTTTGTCTTCACTGAAAGTGTCCTTTTAAATCAGACTGTTTCTTAATATTGTTTCAAATTTTCAGAGAGATGTTAGCTTTTTTCCAAAATGATACTCCCAGTGTATCACAATATTTCTGATTAAGGAAGATAATACTAGAACTGTGCTACTTGAGAAAAAAAAGAGAGAATTGCAGCGCAACTGGTAAAGTTCCTAGACTTAGTTCAGTCAAGTTATGGATCACCCAACTGGCATATTTTGTTATTCCAGCATTTTCAAGCATTATTTTGAAAACATATTCTCAGTGTGAGATTTCTTATATAAATAGGAAGAATTTAACTTCTGTAAACATTTGCAGTGCCAGCTATTTATTTGAATAGATTTTTTTCCCCCTTAAGAGAGCTGCTCCAGTGAAGAACTGTTTCTTATACATTTATGTCCAGGCTCAAAAAGAAACTCAATGTTTTTCTATGAAAAGACAGAAATAACCAAGTAATGTGAAAGCTTTCTGTAACCAGGGATTGCCCATCTAATCCAAGCGTGTGATCACTCCCTATAGGTTCCTGATGCATTAAAAATGTCCTCATTACTCATAGCTCATCAGATGTGTTGTTCACCTTTGGTAACTGACATTCTTCACTGGTATGGCAATTCTGAAGGATGTCCTTGTAGTGGTTCTTCAGATCATCATACATAGAAACAGTTTCTTGTGAGTGAGCCAACGGTAACACCTTTTCATTCAATAATATCTGCACTCGGAATTCTTCTTTTGGAGTCTTAGCATTTTTACAATGGTAAAGCACAAATATTAGGTTTGAGGCATATGGAACAATGTGACCACTTCGGAACTTCCGATGCATTTGTTCCTTGTAATTGTAAGCTGTTAGGGGCTCTTTGTCTTTGAAGTAGCCCATGAGAGAAAGCAGTGGAAGAAGGGTCTCTGCATGTCCAAACTGAAGGATGACTGGAGAGGAAACTGGCTGAGACCTTAAATGAGAAATCGAGAAAAAATATGTATATGTATTCATGTCACAGAACATAATATCTACACTTAGAGGAAGTATACAACTTTCTCATTAACAGGTGTTTGTAAGCCTCTCTTCTTAACTGATATACATTAATTAGGTAATCTAAAGCACCTAAAATCTTATATTTATTTCCAAGAAGCATCCCCTTAGGTCTGAAGTTACAAAGTAGTACCATTCAGACCACAGCAATATATGTTTTGACCTGCATATATATTTTTCAATTTTGCATTATTTATCAGTATTTAAAAACTGGGAGATTTCAGATTCTTAAAAGCCCAGATTTTTGGCTCCTCTTGAAAAACTGAGAGATCTGGCAGTATATATTCCAGTAAGGCAATAATCAGCAAAACAGGAATGAGGGTTACCCTCCAGAGAGGGCATAAACCTGTTACAAAGGACATATGTCACCGCACGTTGTCTAACAGGATGTTTCATTACTTGCAGAACCCCTTTATACATTTGAGTATACGCAAGTCAAAGCTAATACTACTGCCATGATATAAATATAATGCAATTTAATAGTGATACAAGTTAAAGAAAAACAAGTAGTAAAAATACTGGTTTACAGTTTAAGCCCTCTAGCCATGAGGCAGTAACTTCAAAGCCAGGAATCACCCTAAAAATCGATGTTTTATACAATTTAAAATTTCTTTCTTTTTGATTTTTGCATTTCAAGAAAAAAATTTAGCGCTCACTGAATGTCTAGGTTGGGTTTTAAGGGTAAGAAGCAGAATTTAACATACTTTTAAATAAATTACAAGACCTAAAAGAAGGTTAAGTACTTTTTGCATTAATGCAAATGTACTTCCATTAAATAGCTCAGACTATAAATCACCTGTCTCAAACATAGCTGTTTTTCTTCACTATTTTATTTTATTTTTTATTGTTGACAGTATTACAGATGTCCCCCAATTTCCCCCCTTAATCCCCTTCACTATTCTATTTTACAAATTGAAATTCAACTTAGTAATCCTTAGTGGTTCAAGTGTTAAAACTAAAATATATATGATAAGGCAATCTTCTTCAAGGCTCCTTAAGAAAGTAGGAGTAAAACATCTAACTCATAATTATGGCAAAGGAACAAGGACAATATAGGAGCAATGGAGCGAAGACAGTCTTTTCAACAAGTGGTGCCAGAACACTAAACTGCACATGCAAAAACAATGAATTTAGACGCAGACCTAAAAAGGATCATAGGCCTAAATGTAAAACTCAATACAGTAAATCTCCTAGAAGATAAAGGAGAAAACCTAGATAACCTTGGGGTGCGGCAATGACTTTTAGACATAACACCAAAGGCACGATTCATGAAAGAAGTAATTGATAAGCTTATCTTCATTAAAATTAAAACCTCTCTTCTGCTAAGGTCAATGTCAAGAGAATGAGAAGACAAGTCACAAGCTGTGAGAAAGTATTTGCGAAAGACACATATGACAAAGGACTGTTATCTAAAATATACAAAGAACTCTTAAGACTCAACAATAAGAAACAATTAAAAAATGGCCAAAAGACTTGGAAAGCTCACCAAAGGTACACAGATGGCAAGTAATTAAATGAAAAGGTCTCCACATCATATGTCATTAGAGAACTGCAAATTAAAACAAGATACCACTACATATCAAAAGCCAGAAAACTGACAACACCGAGTGCTGACAAGAGGATTTCACTCAGTCACTGCTGGTATGAATACAAAATGAGACAGCCACTGTGCAAGTCCGTTTGGTGGTTTCTTACAAACTAAACATACTCACTACACGATCCAGCAATTGCACTCCTTGGTATTTATGCAAATGAATTAAACTTATGTCTACATAAAAACCTAAACATGGATGTTTATAAAAGCTTTTTTCATAATTGTCAAAACTTAGAAGCAACCAAGATGTCCTTCAGTAGGTGAATGGGTAAATAAATGTTGGTACACCCAGACAATGAAATAATATCAGTGCTAAAAAGAAATGAGCTATCGAGCCATGGAAAGACATGGAGGAAACTTAAATGCATATTACTAAGTGAAAAAAGCCAATCTGAAAAGGCCACACATTGTATGATTCCAACTATATGACATCCTGAAAAAGGCAAAACTATGAAGACAGTAAAAAGATCAGTGGTTGCTATGGGTTGGGGGGAGGAAAGGATGACTAGGCAAAGATCAGAGGATTTTTAGGGCAGTGAAACTATTCTGTGATACTACATACATGTCGTTATACATTTGTCCAAACCCAGAGAATGAACACCACCAAGATGAATGAACCCTAATGGACTCTGGTGATAGTGGTGTTTCGATGTAGGGTTATCAGTTATAACAAATGTACCACGTGGTGTAGAATGTCAATAGTGGAGGAGGGGGGGCAAAGGAGTTTATGGGAACTCTCTCTACTTTCTGCTCAGTTTTGCTATAAACCTAAAACTGATCTAAAGAAGAATTAAAAACAAAACAAAACAAAAACCACACATACTACTGCCATGGGAATATATGTGACAAAAAAGAGGGTATTTTTATTCCAAAGAATCAATATAATCCCTCTTAGATACCTGCTCATGCTCATAACTATTGGTCCTTTTAGATGACTTACTCACATTTCAATTTTTCTTTACAAAGTAGCATTAAGTGTTAAATGGAAAAGATATTTCTATTCTAAATTATATCCAAACACCAAAAATGGGACTTGTATACCTTCAATTAGTGGGGGCTAAAGAGTTGTAGAGTTTGTGCATGGCTGCAAATACAGTAGGGTTTGTTTGTTTTTATAACTCTAAAGATGTCAAAACAAATACACAAGAGTATTTATTTCTGGTCCAATTTTCATCAGAGGCCATTAAAAGTATGTGCCAGGTTTCTGTAAAGTAAATCAGCATTTTCTGTTAAGTGAGTTGGTTCCATTGCAGGAACACACTATTCTTTGCTTTGTCTCACAAAAGAGAGTAAATCTTAGAAGTGTTACACAACTGTCAGGCTCTGATTTACTCCAATTAGTACAAGCCAAATTACTATTTGAAAGAACCTAATCCCCAGCTTGTTCTTGAATACTACACTCAATCCCCAAGGATGGCATGAGTACTATTCTGAGTTTCATTCCCAAGCTTCTTTAAAGCAAAGCTGTTCTGCGCTGGCTGGTGTGGCTTAATTGGTTGAGCAAAGATCCATACACCAAAGGTCACCAGTTCGATTCCTCGTCAGGGCACATGCCCAGATTGCAGGTTCAATCCCCGGTCAGAGTGCTTTTGGGAGGCAGCCAATCAATGTTTCTCTCTCTCTCTCCCTAAAATCAATTAAAAAAAAAAAGCAAAGCTGTTTTATGATTAAGCCCAAAATACTGGTCACAGCTAAGAGGTAAGAGTGTGCATACGTCTGAATGAGGAAGTAAGGGAGCATGTGCGAGTGGGAAGGGGGTGGAGATGAGATGAGAGAGAAGAGAATATATGAGAGGGCAAAAAGGGAAAGAACGTAAAAAAGGCCAGTTTATTTCATTCCTAACATAAGGTCACTGCACATAATTTTGTCAGAAGGTTGCCAAGAGCATTAGATTGCTACATTCCATTCTATCTATGGCCCCAAGTGGCGTTGTCACGACCAGTCAGTAACAGAGTTATGAGGTTCAGGATGCCGTAAGAGAAAGGCCCGAGTTTTTTTATCTTTAATAAAAGAATGCAGTCTACTGGCAGAAAGATGCAAATATATTTCGAGGAGCTGCCAAGTCAATCAATAATGAGGCATAGTCAATACCCACTGCAAATGTAGTTTTTAACATTGGTGGACGTAAAACCATTTGAGAATTCAACTAAAGGAATGTGACTTCATCCCAGAGAAAAACATACCCATAAAAACTTGAATATAGTTTTGGGAATTCAGAGTCTCTACATCCTGTGCTATACATTATATTACAATCTGGCACCCTGAGGAACAGTACACCTACAACTATGTCCCACATTGGTTGTGGCTGATACCTCCTGCATCACATGTATTTCAGATAATTCTAATAATTTTATCCTAATGAGTCCTATATTTAAAAAGTCTAAATAGATTAATTAAATTTACATTAACATCAAATTAAGAATAAATCAGATATTCTATAACTTACTTTGAACTTTCCTATTTTTCTTGAATCTTTGTTTCTTCTGTATTCTGACTCCATATTTTGATCCATCAATAAATATGGACTTCTACTGGTTACATTTCTCAAATTAACCAATATCCCCCACTTGTAATGATTATTTTTTCTTTAAAACTCTTAGCAGAATAATCTCTCAAAGAACAAGGAATACAAAGGCAAGAAACAGGACACCTTTAACTCTGCTCTCCCTCTGATAAAAATGCATTAGTGTCACATTTTCTGAGAAGTGACCAAACCACTTTAAAAGAGGTGTATTTTAGCTTTAAAAAACAAAAGAACCTCAAAAATGTAAAGTCTTAACACAAATATAAGAAAACAAATGAATAATCTATATGAATGTATATAAAGAAACACACAGTTGGAACCAATGTTTTAGGGTTGAGATCTCGTCAAACCCTCTCATTTTAGAAACAAGGGAAAAAGACAAGTAAATTGTCTAATGTTATCCAGCAAGATAAGAATGCAGTTCTCCAAATTACAGCGTTCTTTTACTTATGTAAGTTGGTAAGGAGATTTTATTAAATCTTCAATTAAAAATAAATTTTAATTTGAAGTCTAAAATTCTGTTGTTAAATAATGGCTATATATGTGTATGCTCAAAGCAGATAAAATACCCTCCCCAAAGTACTTCAAGTCATTCACAAAGCTCTCCCAGAAAAACAAACAATAACTGCATGCTTTCCCCTAAACGTACTCAGCTTAGATCTTTCTAAGCTCTTAATTCTTGTTTCATATTCAACTAATGTTAAGCAAACTGTGTTTTTAAACATGATCCATATAATCTCCATACTTATGTAAGTGCACAAATAAGCAACATGAACTGCCAGAGATATGAGAGGCTTTGGGA